GTTTGCTGGCTGAGTGGCAGTGACCTGTGGACAGACATTGTTATAGTCCTGGGCCAAATGCAAGAAAGGTTTTTATCTTTTAGCAGAGGCCCAGATAAGCTGCGTATCCGGGTAAAATACGCATAGAAAATTTCCAATTACGCATTTAAAAATATTTGTTGAGTACCAATTACGCATTTAAAATGTTAGATACGCAAAAGGTTTAAAACAAATGCGTACGGAATATATATATATAAAAATCGCTTGCTTTATGAAAAAGACATCGATTGCTATCAAGTTGTACTGTTAGTATAGGACAAGCGTTGTACTGTCAGTATAGGATGAGTGTTTTTTTATGAAATCATTTCCATTATATTAAAGTTGGTTTTGATTAGGTATGACATAAGGCAGAACATACCTGCTTAGTAAACTTACTCAATGACATATACTGACTGAAAGATGCACATATTTGAAAGCAGTGGGTAACGGAAAATGAAATACCCGCTCAACATATTTATCTATTAGTTAGTAGATATATATTTAAAATAAGAAAACAATATATCAGTGCAAAAAGTCAGTCTGATACCCTGAATATCAGGCGTCAGAATGAGAGACGTTTTGGTTTTTTTGCCGTACCGGAACTGCGTCAAAGTACAAGAATGTACACTGGCCTAAACGTGAAAGGTCAATTTCACCCACTGAGTGAACATAAAATCATACAGCTGTGATTAGCTATAACCAGGATATTTAGAGTTGAAAACATTATATATATTTTATATATATTTAAGGAAAATTTAAAGTCAAGTTAAGAAGGGTGAATGTACTGGGAAAGTGCATTGACCAAGCTAACCGAATTCTTATTGATTCACTTTTCTTGGGGAATAACAATTTCTCTGAATTGACATAAATGAGGGTGAAAGGCTCCAACTGGTGTTTCTACACAATTGGGTGGATGGACATTTGGGATACAGATGGTCAGGTTAGTCAGTTTGTTGATAAAGGGGCTAGCATAGGATCTGAAATGATTTGATTAAGTATCTTCTGGCGCCTACCAGTCTGAAAAATTAGTTAGATATGTCAATGTTTGGTTGATGGATGGCTTAAGGATAACTAGCAATGTCATTTTACGACTGGAAGAATTTGATGGTAAAGTCTCCGAAAGGGACTAATGAAAGTAACTAATTATTAAGATTGGATATGAGTCATTTTTGTATGTCAGGACATTATTTCGGGGGGAGGAGCCACAATTGTCAGAGATACAGTTTTGTCACATGTCGAGGGAGCAGAAGCGATTCTGGGCCCCACCGTTGACTTGAGAGGTTCTCTCTGTGTATTGAGAGAATGGCTCAGATGAACCTGTAACTTTAGGAGTTGTACAAGAAACCAACAAGTTCTTCAAGGATAGCTATGAAAGAAAATGAACATAGTAGTGACATGCAGATATTTAGGCGACAGAAATATATCCTTAGGGCGACAGCTGTCGCCTAAAGGTCGCCCAAATGTCGCCCAAAGGTCGACATTGTGTGTGTGTGTGTGTATATATATATATATACTGAGTGCTTTAAGTGAGTCTAAACTTTTGATGGGAAGTATTTATCACAGTTAGAAATTCTGTCAATGCTAAATAATGACATTGCTTTTAAGTGTGGAACTGAGAAAGTTACTCGGTAAGAAGAACGTGTGGTGAAATAGACAAATGAAATTATATAAACAGTTTAATCGGTAATCTACTGTTATAAAGCTCTCGCCTTTGAAATATCAACAAAACATTAGAAAAATAGCTCACATCAAAGCCTTCACCAAGTACTCACCGCCTATCGTGGATACCGATTCCTTTTATTTACAACCTGTTAATATGTAGCACCAAAGGTAGGTGGAGGAGGTGGTGAAGGTTGAGGATAAAAAACTGAAAAATACGAAAGTTCAAATTAGTCTAAATTGACCTGAATATGGTAAGCATTACATTCCATAGTACTAAGTCATTAGTCTAAGTATGCCTAAATATGATATCCCAAACTGTCACAATGATAACCTTAACTGGACATGCAACTACAAAGTACATTGACAATAGTATATGTCCTCAAATATTCCTTAAAGTCCACACAATACCTAAACCAAGTATTATCCTGAATATTCTGCCACAATCCTAAAGATCAATACATGTCACAAAACAACACAATTTCCCAAATATCAAATAATGAAATGCACACAGAAATCTCTATAAATTTCAGAGTAACAGTTAAAGGGAAGCAACTCCGTATGGCTTATTCTGCATGTAAACTGTATAATATTTTATGAACGCTTATCTTGAGCAACTTGAACATGAAATTTTGGCAAATTTACACCGAAATGACTTACACATTTAAGAAGAGTGCTAACATAGGCGCCCGACTCTGATATATTTATAAGCATGATCTATATCTATATATGTCGTCTTGAAATGTCGAACGCCTCACTGGTTGACACATAACTGAGTAGATCTAGATCCTAACGAGATTCTTTTAAGTAACGAGTAGATTATTGTCTATTTCTTTTGATTAGGCTACTCTTGCTCACGACCTTATAATCCGGACATCACGCTTCCAAGGTGCGCGAACCTATTCACTAAGCATGCGCTATGAGCGCAGCCCAGCGCAGCGCAGCACAGCCATTGAAACTACTTTTCACCCAATGCTGGGGTGAATTTAGTGAATCTTATGAACTCCGACTTCGCGGTGTTTTTTTATCGCGTTATTTTTCAACTTTATAAGTTGAATTTGCTTTTATGATGATTTGTAACTGTAAATCCATACCGAAATATATCAGAGTTATGCAAAGGTATGCACAGTTTTGTTTTACGTTGCATGTGACCTTTAAGAAACACAACTCATTGAGAGGGAATATACAGTTAAAAGAAGTGCAGTTGATTTTGCATATAAAGTGAATGTAAAAGGCCATTATCATTTTTTTATCGTTTACTATGTCGTCAAACAAAGTGAATGATGAACAGATATATATGTATTAGAATAAACTTTTCATTTTAGTCAGTTCAAACGTTATAATCATAGCCACCTTCATAGCCTGCAGCCATACGGACTTGAGGTTCAACATTACTGAGTACCTAGACAACATAGGCATGTGTTGGACCTCAGTTGACCACTTGGTGTTGAGATAGAAATGATCCGTAAGTGTAGATATGCTTCTGTATGATGTGTGAACTATGACAGAGGTGAAAGATCCTATTCCATTTAACGATTTTCATATTATCTTACATCGTAACTCATTAGTAGCTGCTGTCTCGATTCAAGTGGAAGAGACACACACCTTTGTCAATATTTAGCACAAACTGTTTAGTAGCAATGAAATTATCCAAATCGTTCAGACCTAGCCATGTTACAGTGATTTCATTTGAATGTGAATGCATTTCTTGAGGCTACCAATTAAACATCAGACAACGTTAAGGGCGGTAGATATTTCCAGCCTACAGGACATACCAGACTTATCACTGAGTCAACTTGAGCATAACTTCAAATCTTAACAACGGGGTAACCCATGCTAACAGACAGTAAAATGAACTGTAATACTACCAAAGGAACACGTCATTTGCACCGAAGGTTTTACAGGAGCGCAAATATAAGTTTGTTTTCTCAGTTTAGTGACGACCACCAGTCCTCAACTGCTTACTATTTCCTGTGTTTAATTCCGGTCAGACACTTAATGACGGAAGCTGACCCCTGAGTATACATTCATTCTAGGCTGCGCCATTCACGTTAATAGATTGTCCAGACTATCAACTGCCATTCCATGTGCACATCGGTACAGTCTGGCCTTTAAACTACAATAAAACACAATTTCTGGCAAACTTGTTCGGCTAACTTTCCGAGCACAGTTAAGCTGAACACATCAACCCTAGTTCCGCACCAAATGTCACCTACTTGAAAATATCTGTACACACATAAGCATAAGTCATGGTGATACAAATGACAGTACTAAATACTTAAAATTGTGGTCAGTTTTAATGACTGGACGGATGTGCTTTTAAAAACATAAACATCTTACACTATTTCATCCAATCACAGTCTCTTCAGTTGCGGCCCGGCTCAACGAGCAAGCGATTCTGCTTTAGGTGTAGTGGAACCTGTATAGACTACACCCCCATTCACGCAGGCAATAATCATATACGGACCCACATGGCACATGAATTTTATTTGCTAACAGATACAATCGTTTATTGTTCACAGATATGGAAAATAAATACTCAGAACTTATGAGGTGTTCCTTGTACTAAATCGTGAGTGGTTAAGAATGAAATCTATTTTAAACTGCTGTGATACCTCGCCCTTTGATTTAACAAAATGCGCTATGGTATTTCGGACAACACTGGCTTTTGACCTAATAAATAGCATCTAAATTCACCTCATATTCAGAGTGCGATATTAATTCTATAAAATTCAATAAAAGATTTTGTTGTGTGAAAAACTCGAGTCAAAGCAAATCAAACTCATAACACTCATAAAATAATTGAATCCCTCCACACACACACCCCTACACTTCCACACAATAATACACACACACACCTTACAGCAGCAGGGCTGAACAAAGAACCTGATACTGTCATTTCAAGGAGCTGTCCTTTAGGTTTGATAGCATAGATTTGTGAGACGGAGGGGTAGCCTGGTAGTAAAAGCTCCCACTCGTCACAGGTTCGATTCCCCACATGGGGAATTCCCTTCCATGGAAGCCCATTTCCGTCGTGATATTGCTGGTATATTGCTAAAAGCAGCATAAGCTACACTTACTCACTTATGAGAATATTGTCGAATACTCAATAGCATATGCAAATCACATAATATATATCTACTAAATAAATATTGTAATCACACATAGAGATCCTAGCTAATATTTTTTATGATAAATGGCTCGAAAAACGGATGGTACGAATGACTTGAAGTGCTGTCCAATTTAAAGCTAAAATTCTTTTGTTAAACTGAAATTTATAACATCAGAGTGAAGTGATTATTTGTTTACACTTGTTTCTCTTGTGTATTCAGACTGAGATGGAGATGGTTATCAAATATGTTACAATATATAGTATCTGCTGCAGGTGAGAGACAAAATGTCGCCCAGGGAAAACCAGCATGGATGAGCACTACACGTCGTCCTTCACAGTCTGCTGGTAATGCTGTAGATGGAGGGACTACTGCAACAAATGATGAGAACTCAGCACACACCAAAGTTAACGAAACTACAGCCTGGTGGAAGGTGGACCTACAGACACCTGTACAGTCACCAGTGGTTAACATCTACTTCAGAACAGACTGTAAGTATGTCACACTTTTGCTGTTCAAAGGGTGTATTAGTTGATGCTTCTTGAAACCCACTGACACAATGTGGTGTGTAGATGTTGCTGTGTACGTAAAATCTGTACAGTGTTGGAGCATCCAAGACTCTAGCAAAGGAATCCGCAAAACATACATGTAAACTCACCTTTAACACGGGTGGTGGGGGTGTCAGAATCACAGTAATGAAACAATATTCAACACATAGTTGACTTTCACTAAATGGTATTTTAGCTTTTTTGTAATTTAGTACTACTTTGAACAAAACCCAATATCACACAAAATGTCCGGATAAAGACATATATCTCGTATGTCTCAATGGAGTCATGACAAAACGACGTTTGATCGGATACCAACCTTTTAGAAGTTTGATTCAATGACAGGTTATTGTTTCGGTCTATTGCTATATCGCCCTGAAATATTAGCGCAATAATTAGATAGTATGACAAGACATGGCGATATCGCGACACAATATAGTACGAAAAAGTACGAATTAGCAATAACATAAAGCGAGAACAAAATACAGTATGGCGATAAAACGGAAAGGCGATATTGCGATATGGTGACAAGATATATCGATACAGCGATATAGGGATAAGACGATATGGTTGCCATTTGTGAACATAAGAAAACGAACACGTTGATTCCCTAGTTGAAACTAAAAAGCTCACCAGGTATCATAGTCCGTTAATGATCTAGGTGTCAAACCAACAGACAAGAAGGAAATGTGCTGTATTTAACCATTGTGTTCAAAATGTAAATTTGTTCACAAATCAAATACATGTCAATACTAAGACATCAATACGGCAGTACAAAATAGTGTGGCAGTACAAATTCATAGAGACAGTGTAATACAAGAACAACAAATACAGTGATGGTAATAATTGTCTCTCAGCTACACTAATCCACTAGGCAGGATATTATCATCACACAATAGGGCCCGTAAGTATGTCAGGGTATTTCGCGAGACCTTAGTGCTTCCGGAGACAACAACGTTTCATACCTTTTCGAATTGTCTCATGGATTTCAGTTGACAGTGAGTAACGGATAATCCTTGCAGGAATAACACATTTTCGATCTAACCATCCTCAAATTAGCAAAATCTTACGACTGCCAATATCCGTGCATGGTTGTACACTTGGTCCAGTCTAGTAAAAGTAATATTTGGCTGTTGCGCAATTTGGAACCTGAAGTGGTACTTGAATATACGCTTGTCACCGGAAATCTGGTACCTGAAGTACCTGAGTCCCGTCTCGCATATCGAAAGAGTGCGCGCGCAAAGGGAGCCGGGAACCAGATTAGTACTGGAAGTAGCGCCTCGAGAGACTTGGGATTTAATAGGAGATGGGAGACAAGTGCTAAGCCCCTTCCACTGCCCATTAATGAATGTACAAGTACAATGTATCAGAGTGTAAAACTAGTATCCTCTCAAACCAATCCTTGTAGCACATTACGTTTACAGTTAATTTACGCATGCATGGTATCATTTAACATTTGATACAAGTAATGGCACATTACCTGAGCTTTACTGACACTCCGATGGATGATTAAAGTATTAATTTAGCTGTTTCCAGCTACTAATGTTACTGACACGTTGCTGCAACCGAACGTTGGATTAATGTGTCGAGAAGTACATGGAAGGTTGAATTGTTAAATGCTACTCACGACGAGACGCTCAGTCAGTCCAACCACTTGTGGACGTGTATCAAACTGTCATAAGCAACTTCAGTTCGGTCATATCTAAGAAGGGAAAATTTAATATATTAATGATAATATGACACATTGCAAACGTGTTTTTGCAGATACGCCTCGACGTAATGGCCTTCAACTCTACACGTCCAGGACAAATTCACCTGATCCAAAAGGAGATCTATGTGGCAAAGTTAGTGGGCGCCTTGACGGTACAGACATCCCTGATGTCCTGAATGTCACCTGCCCTGGGAGCTGGCGCTACCTGACTGTCTACACAGAGACTGATAATGATAGATATGGTGCTGTGTTGGACTTCGTTGAAGTACAGGTGTGGGGTAAGTATATAAACAAGGAAAGACCAGCCAGAACACGGTAGCCAGGAAATAATCAAGTCTAGATACCACAAACCACAGATTGACGTAATGAGCAGAATACGCGTAATCGGGGTATGATTACAGACAGATATTCGATAATATAATATGAGTAATGTTACCACCTGCTGACAGATCTCTCTGTAGTCAGGTAGACGGATCCATCTTTCAGCGTCAGATATGAAACTAGTCTGATAAACACTTCAGATGCACTATAAACTAGTTTGTTTCTAGAACTAGGTTAACGTCTGTGGAAATGTATATTTCGTTATGTGCTCAGAACTATTTAACATTCAAGTACAACACATACAGACACTGTAATTAGAATATTGTATTTGATTAGATAATTTTATTGTGTTGAACCTGGATGAACACTTGATCACTTGATCAACGATCATACTTGAGCACATGGTTTATGATCGTTCAGACCTTAACACCCAGCCCGGCATTAGACCTGTCCACCTACCCAAAACCTACACAGTGTAAATACTGAATTTTTCTTTGGTGACATTTCCAACAAACGCAGTGTTACGAGCACAGCATTCGTTTTCACACCGAATATGCTTCGTTTGATTTCATCTAGACACCTAGTTTTGGTGACAAATACCATTTGTTATTTGATTCTAAGATCAGTAGTGTGTTTGTGTGTTTGTCGCCACTGAGTGTGGGGAGTTCGGATCCCAGATCGTGTCAGTATGTTTGATCGTAGACCAGGTGGGTGTGTTTGATCGTAGACCAGGCGAGCTATTCTCGAAACGTTCGTAGCCCTACGAACGTCTTAAGCCCACTCTTAACACATTGGACACGATCAAAGTTAAGAATTCTTAGACCAGGTGGGTAGGTTTGATCGTAGACCAGGTGCATATGTCTGATCGTAGACCAGGTGGGTATGTCTGATCGAGACTAGGTGGGTGTGTCTGATCGTAGACCAGGTGGGTGTGTCTGCTCGTAGACCAGGTGAGTGTATCTGAACGTAGACCAGTTGGGTAGCTCTGATCGTAGACCAGGTGGTTGTGTCTGATCGTAGACCAGGTGGGTATGTCTGATCGTAGACCAGGTGGGTGTGTCTGATCGTAGACCAGGGGGGTAGGTTTGATCGTAGACCAGGTGCATTTGTCTGATCGTAGACCAGGTGAGTATGTCTGATCGTAGACCAGGTGGGTGTGTCTGATCGTAGACTAGGTGGGTGTGTCTGATCGTTGACCAGGTGGTTGTGACTGATCGTTGACCAGGGGTGTGTGTCTGATCGTAGACCAGGTAGATATGTCTGATCGTAGACCAGATGGGCGTGTCTGATCGTAGACCAGAGGGGTAAGTTTGATCGTAGACCAGGCGAGCTATTCTCGAAACGTTCGTAGCCCTATGAACTTTTTAAGCGCATTCTTAACACATTGGATACGATCAAAGTTAAGAATTCTTAGACCAGGTGGGTATGTCTTATCGTAGACCAGGTGGGTGTGTCTAATCCTAGATCAGGTGGGTAGGTTTGATCGTAGACCAGGTGGGTGTGTCTCATCGTAGATCAGGTGGGTGTGTCAGATCGTAGACCAGGCGGGTATGTCTGATCGTAGACAAGGGGTGTAAGTTTGATCGTAGACCAGGTGGGTGTGTCTGATCATAGACCAGGTGGGTATGTTTGATCGTAGACTATGTGGGTATGTCTCATCGTAGACCAGGTGCGTATGTCTGATCGTAGACCAGGTGGTTGTGTCTGCTCGTAGACCAGGTGAGTGTATATGATCGTAGACCAGATGGGTAGCTCTGATCGTAGACCAGGTGGTTGTGTCTGATCGTAGACCAGGTGGGTATGTCTGATCGTATATCAGGGGGGTAAGTTTGATCGTAGACCAGGTGGGTGTGTCTGAACGTAGACCAGGGTGGTGTGTCTGATGTTACACAAGTGGGGTATATCTGATCGTAGAACAGGTGGATGTGTTTGATCGTAGACCAGGTGGGTGTGTCTGATCGCAGACCAGAGGGGTATGTCTGATCGTTGACCAGGTGGGTATGTTTGATCGTAGACCAGGAGGTTGTGTCTGATCGTAGACTAAGTGGGTGTGTCTGATCGTAGACTAAGTGGGTGTGTCTGATCGTTGACCAGGTGGGTATGTCTGATCGTAGACCAGGTGGATCTGTCTGATCGTAGACTAAGTGGGTGTGTCTGATAGTTGACAGGTGGGTGTTTCTGATGGTAGACCAGATGTGCTTGTCTGATCGTAGACCAGGTGCGTAAGTTTTATCGTAGACCAGGAGGTTGTGTCTGATCGTAGACCAGGTGTGTGTGCACGATCGAAGACAAGGTGGGTGTGTCTGATCGAAGACGAGGTGGGTGTGTCTGATCTTAGACCAGTTGTGTTTGTCTGATCGTAGACCAGGTGTGGATGATCGTGGACCATGTGGGTATGTCTGATCGTAGACCAGGTGGGTGTGTCTGATCTTATACAAGGGGGAAGCTTGATCGTAGACAAGGTGGGTACGTTTGATGGTAGACCAAGTTGGTGTGTCTGATCGTAGACCAGGAGGGTATGTCTGATCGTAGACTTAGTGGGTGTGTCTAAAAGTTTTCCAGGTGGGTGTGTCTGATCGTAGACCAGATGTGTTTGTCTGATCGTAGACTAGGTGGGTATGTCTGATCGTAGACCAGGCGGGTATGTGTGATCGTAGACCAGTTGGGTGTGTCTGATGGTAGACCAGGTGGGTATGTCTGATCGTAGACTATGTGGGTGTGTCTGATAGTTGACCAGGCGGTTGTGTCTGATGGTAGACCAGATGTGCTTGTCTGATCGTAGACCAGGTGCGTAAGTTTGATCATAGACCAGGTGGTTGTGTCTGATCGTAGACCAGGTGTGTGTGTATGATCGTAGACCAGGTGGGTGTGTCTGCTGGTAGACCAGGTGGGTGTGTCTGATCTTAGACCAGGCGTGTGTGTCTGATAGTTGACCAGGTGGGTGTGTCTGATGGTAGACCAGATGTGCTTGTCTAATCGTAGACGAGGTGCGTAAGTTTGATCGTAGACCAGATGGATGTGTCTAATCGTAGACCAGGATGGTGTGTCTGATCGTAGAACAGGTGGTTGTGTCTGATCGTAGAAGAGGTGGGTGTGTCTTATCGTAGACCAGGTGGGTGTGTCTGATCGTTGAGCAGGTGTGTGTGTCTGATCGTAGACCAGGTGGGTGTGTTTGATCGTAGACCAACTCGGTATTTTCTAATCGTAGACCAAGTGGGTATGTCTGATCGTGGACCAGGCGGGTATTTTCTAATCGTAGACCAGGTGAGTATGTTTGATCGTAGACCAGGAGGGTGTGTCTTATCGTAGACCAGGTTTGTGTGTCTGATCGCAGACCAGGTGGGTGTGTCGGATGTTAGACCTGATGTGTGTGTCTGATCGTAGACCAAGTGCGTAAGTTTGATCGTTGATTAGGTGGGTATGTCTGATCGTACACCAGGTGGGTGTGTCTGATCGTAGACTAGGTATGTGTGTCTGATCGTAGATCAGGTGGGTGTGTTTGGTCGTAGACCAGATTTGCATTTTCTAACCGTAGATCAGGTGGGTAAGTTTGATAGTAGACCAGGGGGTATGTCTGATCGTAGACGAAGATGGTGCGTCTGATCGTAGACCAGGGGGGTAAGTTTGATCGCAGACTAGGTGGGTGTGTCTGATCGTAGACAAGCTGGGTTTATCTGATGGTAGACGAGGATGGTGCGTCTGATCGTAGACCAGGGGGGTAAGTTTGATCGCAGACTAGGTGGGAGTGTCTGATCGTAGACAAGCTGGGTGTATCTGATGGTAGACCAAGTGGGTATGTCTGATCGTAGACCAGCTGGATAGTTTTGATCGTAGACCAGGTGGGTATGTCTGATCGTAGACCAGGGGGGTAAGTTTGATCGTAGACCAGGTGGATAGATTTGATCGTAGACCAGGTGGGTATGTCTGATCGTAGCCCCGGGGGGTATATCTGATCACAGACCAGGTGGGTATGTTTGCTCGTAGAGCAAGTGGGTGTGTATGTCTGATCGTAGACCAGGTGGGTGTGTCTGATCGTAGACCAGGTGGGTGTGTCTGATCGTAGACCAGGTGGGTGTGTCTGATCGTAGACCAGGTGGGTAAGTTTGACCGTAGACGAGGTGGGTGTGTCTGATGGTAGACCAGGTGGGTGTGTATGATCGTTGACCAGGTGGGTGTGTCTAATCGTAGACCAGGTGGGTGTGTCTGATCGTAGACCAGGTGGGTAAGTTTGACCGTAGACGAGGTGGGTGTGTCTGATGGTAGACCAGGTGGGTGTGTTTGATCGTAGACCAGGGGTGAATGTTTGATCCTAGACCAGGTGTGTATGTCTGACCGTAGATCAGGTGAATGTATCTGATAGTAGACCAGGTGGATGTGTCTGATGGTACACCATGAGGAGGTATTTGATCGTAGACGAGATGGGTGTGTCTGATCGTAGACCATGTGGGTATGCTTCATCGTAGACCAGGTGAGTGTGTCTGATCGTAGGCTAGGTGGGTATATCTGATCGTAGACAATGTGAGTGTGTCTGATCGTAGACCAGGTGTGCATGTCTGATCGTAGACCAGATGTGTGTGTCTGATCGTAGACCAGGTGCGTAAGTTTTATCGTAGACCAGGAGGTATTGTCTGATCGTAGATGAGGTGTGTGTGCATGATCGCAGACAGGGTGGGTGTGTCTGATCGTAGACCAGGTGGGTGTGTCTGATCTTAGACCAGATGTGTGTGTCTGATCGTAGACCAGGTGTGGATGATCGTAGACCTTGTGGGTATGTCTGATCGTAGACCAGGTGGATGTGTCTGATCTTATACCAGGGGGGGTAAGTTTGATCGTAGACGAGTTGGGTGTGTTTCTGATCGTAGACCAGGTGGGTACGTTCGATGGTAGACCAAGTTGGTGTGTCTGATCGTAGACAAGGTGAGTGTGTCTGATTGTAGACCAGGTGTGTAAGTTTGAT